CAGACTTGTTAGATCTAAGAGAAGGCGTCGTACCCCTAAACGGAACTCTACTACCTATCTTTTGGGTCGGAGTCTGATTCAATTTTCGAATCTCACCGTTCTGACGCCAAGCCACTGGTGACTTAGCTGTAGACCTTACAGCACCTAGTTGGACAATAGAAGTTATCGGTCCAGCTGATGTAGACGGATTTTCATGTGTCTCAGCGGGACTATCCGGAGGATACGAAACGACAAATGGGGTTGCTGTTGCTGCTGCTGCAAGTTTAGGGGCAGGCAAATGCGTTAAGTGGTTCGAGTGAGATGGAGATGTCGGAGAAAGAGGAAGGAGGGAGTCAGATGTCGCAGGAGTAGGAGAAGCTGAATCCTTACGGCCACTTGTATTATGACCGAGTTGGGGAGCATTAGACTGAGAAGCAGTGGGTTTACGTGAGAATCGAGACCCCATTCTGCGCTCCATAGGAGTAAGATCATGACAAAGGAAATGTTGTGCCTTCTCTAGGTACGCAGTGACACGCTCTCGATGAGTAAAGATTGTGTCAACCTCGATTGGTGAAAACAATTTGACTAAGATGGGGGGATTTTTGCTACGGGAGGACAAGCGTTTGGCATCAGCTATTTTATAGTTGAAACCACATGAATACAGGAAACTGGTCGCAACATCAATTGGCCGAGCAGATGGAGGAACATTTTTTAGCAGGAAGTTGTAAGAACGCTTCTGTCTATCACTAGATTCACTGGCGATCAGGTGAACAAGTGAGTCTAGACGCCTACATTCTTCAGAGGGAATATCGGAGATGTTCCCGTCGAATAAATGTCCAAGAATTGTCAGCAAAGAGCCAAACTTTAGCATAAAGTCATTGCAGTGGTCAAGTGCAGACAGATTAAGCTGCCGACCAATTACAACGGGTGACGACTGACTAGTAATATCATCTGACTTAGACTTAGGTAAAGCTTCTGGGTTACGTTTAGTTAGGTCATGTTTACTTACAAGAGCCGATTGCTTACGTCGACCAGTGACTTTTGGTCTCATCTTGTCTCGAGGCAATTTGTGATTAAGAGAACTTCTGGCAGACAAGTTGACTGAATTTCAGCTAGGGGCTAACGATGTAAAAATAAATTACAACAGTTAGAGGGAAATCGGATGCACAAAATGAGAATTGCAGAGTGCGATTAGTGAACAACGGGCATAGACTAGCAGAACTCAAGAGGAGATGGCAGCAGGCAGTTCTTAGAGAAGAGGCCTGTATTTAAGGAAATTCGACCAAAATACAGGTACTAAAATCGTTAGGTCTCACAGAAAAACCACTTAAAATAATATCCTCCACTTATCTTCAAATTTAAAACCAGCGGCTTTACCTTGACCCGCAATTGCTATGCGAATGTCAGAAGCTAAACAACCGCCGCTCCGAAAACTTGCCAATTTCTCGAAATTCGGCACTCGTATAACGTTTAAACCGTCAGTATGACTGCCATCGAACAAAAAGTGCTCGTCCGCTTTAGTACGTGCCTTAATCGACTATTATCTCCATATTCGCGAATGACAAATTATTGACTTCAAACCCTCTTGTGGGAAGTGTAGAAAATTCTCGCTTTATTTTGCGGATCGCTATACCAACAATGTCGTCAGAGTTGTGATTAAATTTCTAAGGTTAAATTTACCTTCCCGACTAATTCCTTAGAAATAACCAGTTGTTCATAATGTGGTACACGAGTTTGCAGGAATATTTCAAACATTGCTCCTCAGACGCTTGATTACACGTGTCACACGTAAACTTCCTCGAGCACAGGCACAGGATAAACGTTACGAGTGTTTCACTCTAGGGTTACCTTTAAAGTCCCTCTTTTGTTGTAGGTCATTCACCTTTCAGGTCGCTAACACAAACAGCACGCCTAAAATGATTTCAAGCAAGCGCTAGATTTCGTACTGTAAATTAGGAAAAGGAATGCATCAGACAGCTCGGTATTTCACTTTTTAAACCTAAATTATTGGAAATAAGGTGACGAGTATAGCAAGGAAAATAATTGTTTTATTTTCCTAACGCGGAATAGCGTCTTCATGGGTACGTAACATAATTTTTTAAATAGCAGAACGGATGGTGCATCATCAAACACATTAGTCAAAATAATCTTCGGCAGTCATAGGTCTCACAAATGTCACTAGGTTTAGTTTTTGTTGCACCAACTTCTTTTTTGGTTGTATTCATGTTTTTCAAAAGTTTGCTGCTGCCTTGAAGTAGCTATGTTTTGTTTCAAACCTAATTTTTCATTTGTCCCTTGCTTCGCCCTCCCTTTTTCCTGACTTTTATCCTTAGAAACGCAAACAGAGTCCATCGTCTTGTCTAACCTGTGTCCCATAAAGTTTTCTGATAAACCTGGATGATTTGCATGACTTCTTGTCGTCACCTAAGGCGCCCGATTATATTTTTTGGGGAATATCTTAATCAACAAGGTGGTCTGCGCAAACCACCTTGTTGATTAAGATATTCCCCAAAAAATATAATCGGGCTCAACGGCGAAATAATTAAATTAAGCACACATTAAAATGGTTGGACACCCAAACTTCATGATTCTATCTTGAGCTTAAGCTTGTCGTTGATTTGATGAAAAATTTCCAGTTCACCTCCGACATTAATGCATGAGCAGTGCACATTACAGCGTAAACTTACGCCACCAAATGCACTTAGTGTCACCTCAATACAATTATTTGCTCGGCGGCCGCAGCTTCTTAGTAACATATATATGCTACCAGGAAGCTGCGACTCAGGTGGCAAAATATCGAAGTGATAGCGAGGTATTTATTTTCCGAAATATTTCGCAAACGGCAAAAGGGTAGTAAGATAGCATACTTGAATGTTTTTCTTGACTCAGTAACCCTAATTACCTTGAGCGGAGTAGATCTCCTCCCGATTTATCTTTATTATCTCTTCCAAGTTTTGGAAGGTGACCGCCACTTTTAATTTTTGCTCGGTTTCATAAGGTTGAAGTTATTGTAATAACTTCTAAATATATTCGAAAAGAGGGATTCAACTCTGGGACTGATTTTGATCACTTTGGTGCGTCTGCGGACGCTCATCCTTGCATCTTTGTTCACACAGGCCGAAAATGTGTGGTTGGGCTCAGTATTCCCAACGCAAGGAAGTAAAACCTTTCACATATGATCAAAACGTCTTTTATTTATACGTTCTTGCTGAACTGAACCGCAGTTTACCCCACTAACCCCAGAGTTAGAGGGAATTAGTACGTCATCTAATATGAGCACTAAGAAGGATTGTATTATCATACCCAGCACAAATCGACCACCAAAGGTTAGGAC